TGAAAATCTAATTGTTTACAAATATCAACAATTTGTATGTAGTTTTAACAATTATTATTTGATCCCAGCGGATTTTAAAATGTGCTTTAAAGCAAACACATAAAGTCATTTGTCATTATTATCGAAGAACACTTCAACAACTTATGGAAAGACGACGAGTGATTTAATTTATATTATAGATATAAAATAAAATTTTTATTAGTTTGTTTACTATTTGATGAGATATCAACTGTTCTATAATATAGTATGCTGAGATATATATGTATAATTTAACCAGAAAAAATCAATTGTGCTTACACATATTTTTAATGTTACTTTAGGGAAGGGGGTAAAAAAGCTGACATCATATATAAAGAGGGTTTTGCCAAAAATTGACAGTTTGACAAATAGGGGAGGGGGTTAAAAATTGAGAAAAATCACTGACATCAATTATGGATAGCCCTTTTTACTAATTTGGAAAATTTTTCAATTTTCCTTGAACGTTCTATAAATAACAAGAGCTACGCTTAACTCGGACATTTCCAAGTCGTACTATTTATCTGTTTCCATTGAGAGTCCAACTTAACGGGATTTTACTGTATATATATATATGTATATATATATATATATATATATATATATATATATATATATATATATATATATATATATATATATATATATATATATATATATATATATATATATATATATATATATATATATATATATATATATATATATATATATATATATATATGTATATATACAGTGGTTTTCATAAATTTAGACGCACTCATATTTGAGAATAGAAATTTTTAGTTTTTTAACGATAAAACAATGACGAAAAAAGATTTCGGTTAAGTTTTTTTTCTATTTATTAGATAAATACATACAGAATACAAAATTTAAAAAAGTTTACAAAAAAAAATGAAATACTTAGTAATAATTAGGTACAACTACATGGTATTAAAAAAATTAGACAAAAAAAATTATTCATAAATTTAGACGCACGATACATTAGAAGGCGTAATTTATGAACCAATCAATATTTTGTGTATCCGCTTTTTGCTTTAATACAACTAAGAACTCTTCTAGGCATAGACTCAACAAGATTTTTGCGCATCGCTTCTAGGACCCCATACCAGGTCTCCTTAAGAAATTCCTTCAGCTGACCAAGTGTGAAAATTTGAACCTTTGCTAATTCACGGTCAATCCAAGCCCAAATGTTTTTAATCGAGTTCAAATCAGGTGAGTATGGAGGCTACGGTATTGTCATGATATTATTATTGTTGAACCACTCCTTTGTATATTATACAGTAAGTGCAGTAGCGTCATCTTGTTGAAGTTTCTATGGTTTATCATTGAGCATAAGCAGGTCAATTGATGGAATTAGGTTGTTTTTCATTACTTCTACGTATATTCTGGAGTTGATTCTTCCGGTGTATGTTTGGCACATACCAACACCTTTGTAATTGAAGCATGACCAGATTCCTATCGAGCCTTCTCCACTTTGTACAGTCGGTCTAATGTACCTGGCCTAATACTTTTCGTGAGCCATTCTTTTGACTGTTATGTTAGATTTGCGATTGATAAGCTCAAAGTTACTCTCATCACTTCACATAATGTTTTCCCATTGCTCTATTGTCAAATACCTTCTTTCACGACACCATTTTAGTCTCCTTTGTTTATCATATGGACGTAGAAGCGGTTTCTTCAAAGCAGTGTAGACTCCAATCTTGTATTTGATAAGTATTCGGCGGACTATGCTTTGAGAAATAGATGTATTTCGCGTTGTATTGAATTCTGTGGTCAATTCTTTGTAACTAATTCTTGGATTAGCTCTGACAGCTCTAAAACGAACACTGTCGTCCATTTTGGTGGTTGGCAAGGGTCTACCTGGCCTCGTTTTCTCGCTGGCACCACCAGTGTGAAGAAAGTTTTGTTTCGTTGTCCGAACGCATTTCTCAGAAAATCCAATTAACTTGGCAATTTCTCTATTACTTTTGGTTCCTTCTTTGATGTGCGCAATAATTTGCCATCTTTCACCTTGAGTGATACGTCTTTCGCCCATTTTTCGCGTCTTTTTAGTGAAAAACTAACAACTTTTGTTTATTTATTAAATAATGATTAACTAATTTCAGGTAAGTCATATTTATAAAAGGTTTTTTGACAAAATCAATTAATTTAGGCCTATTAATAAGAAATATGGGAAAAAACTACTAATTAACTATCAATTAACAAGATATAAGACTTTTTTGATTGTGCGTCTAAATTTATGAACAAAATAAAATCAAGCTTATCAATTAACTTTTTTGTGTTAATCGGTATAGAATGAGAAATAAACATCCTGTAAAAAAATGAAGGTACTCTATAATAGAGTTTTACTTCCACTTTTAAATTATATATCAAACATAGCGGTAGCACTTTTATTTTATTTTTATTTTGAGTATTTTCTTACATATATGAAAAAAAAAATGAATGCGTCTAAATTTATGAAAGCTACTGTATATATATATATATATATATATATATATATATATATATATATATATATATATATATATATATATATATATATATATATATATATATATATATATATATATATATGAAAATTTTAAAAAATCCCTGAGTTTTTTATCCCTGAGATTCATGCAATTTCCAGGTATTTTAAGTTGAGTGGCAACCCTGATTAAAGAATTTTTCAGTATGGTCTCTTTGTTGTCTGTAATCTTTCCGTGTTATTACAAACAACACCTTATAAAAGCTGTATTGGACAGAGTAAAGAAATATTAAATCCTTTTAAATTAAAATCCATATTCTGATTCAACAGTTTAAAATTTCAAAAGGTATTGATTAAATTATTTTTGATAACCCTTAAGTCAACGCACCATCGATTTACAAATATAATTTACGTGGACATTATCTTTGACTCGAACGCCAAAGGGTAAAAAACTGTCAAGAAAGATTTAATTTCTTTACTAATCACATCGTGAATGTTTGGAATACGCTACCTTTAAACGCCATAAGAGCTGAATCAGTCAACTCGTTCAAGATTAGTGTTCATAAATTGAAATTCGTAATAGACGAATGATCGGACACACGAGTGTCTTCTTTCAGCCTGGTGTAGCACTTCCTCATCAAAATATATAAATGTATTATATAATTGATTTCTGAAATAAATAAATTCAAACTCATTTAAGTTTTAAAATTTCAAACACCTAAAAGTTATTAAATAATAATATTCAAAGTGTTTCACTAAACGTCTATACAACCCTCCTCTCACCTTCTACATATCCACCTCTGAATTAAAATAATAATGTTCAAAGCGTTTCACTAAACGTCTATACAACCCTTCCCTCACCTTCTATATATCCACCTCTGAATTAAAATTAAGGGCTGATAATGTAATATTTAAACGTTGTTTTATGTAAAATCCACAATTAACGAGCGATAACTAAAAAATGAGAATAATTCTAACCCTCTGAAATCAGATCGCAAAAGTCAAAAAAAGAAAAGTACTCCTATGAGAAACTATACTATCTCTGTTTACAAACTTATGTTTTGTTTTGCATTAGCTATCTCAGTTGTGTTTAAAATGCCGTCAAAACAAGATGTACTACGCAAGTGCGTTGTAAAGTTCTATCAAATGCACGAAAACCTCGGAAAAAAGTTTACTGTGAATCATTTTAAAACCAAAAATGTTCCAGTTACAATTATTTACCTTATTTTGGCATCCTTAACAACCAATCGTAAGAGTGGTAGAGGAAGACCAGCTAAAATAATGAGCAAGATGGGACTTCGTTTGCTTCACGGTGCTTTCAACAACAATCATTCAATAAGTCCACGAGATGCTGCAGAAAAGTTCAAGTATACGCAGCCTTATTTCTGAAAATCGTTGAAAAAGCAAGGAATAGTCTGTCGAAAAAAAAACAAGAGTATACTGAGCAACAAATATCAACCGTGAAATCTCAATGCCGCTGGATGACCCGAAATTACTCTGGGCAATGTTTTGTTTATGGTGGCGAAAGTTACTTCCCCCTCTCCAAAACGCAAGTTCCAGGAAACGATTGATATTATGCAGATAAAAGTACTACAACACCTACAAAAGTAAAATACAAACATAAATACAAGTTTGAGCAGAAAGTGATGCTGTACATTGCCATATCTGAGAGGGGAATTTTAAAAGACATTGTTTAAGCCAAGTGGTTTGGCTATTAAGCAAGAAGTATACCAAAATCAATGTTTGAAGAAAATATTGATTCCAATTCTTCAAAAATATCATACAGATGGCAATTACTTGATTTGGCCGGATAATGCATCATCGCATTATGCCAAAAAAACACAAGTCTTCTTGGAAAGCCAAAACATCCCATTTGTACCAAAAACCGCAATCCGACAAACTTGCCTCAGTGTCGCCCAATTAAAGATTTTTTTTGGATATTTGAGTTCGTTTGTATACAAAAACAACTGGAGAGCTAAGAATTGCAAACAATTGATGACCCGAATCAAAAAATGCATTCGTCAAATCGATATAAATGCTGTACAATGCTCCTGTTCCAACATCATGACAAAAAGTTGAACTGCTGATGATGAACCATATTCGAATGCTCATTAATTTTTTCTTAGAGATTAGTGATGTACCTTCAATTAAAATGAAAATAATTTTGATTTTCTAAACATTTGTTTTTATTATAGCCCGATATGAAAATTCTCATTTCTTAGTTACCACCCGTTATAACATGAACTACAAGTATAATCCTAACATAACTTTCACAGTAAATCTGGCGATCTGATGTTATGTGAACGTTGGTAGAAAAAAAACAAACATAACTTTCACAGTAAAAAAAGTAATTTTTTAATGCTGTCATTAAAAACGTCATTTAAAAGCTTAGCACATATTCAGAACATATACATGTTAACTAAAATAAAAACAAACCTAAAAAAATAAATATAAAACTGTTATCCAACACCTACGATTGTGCTAATGAAAAGAATAAAAACAAGGGAACTTGTGTAATTTTGTTGTTTTAGGTTTAAAACAGTGCTAGGTTATCAATATTGACTACTTCAAACAATTTCTTACTTAATTTTTATATGTCCGATTCAAAAGTTTAACACAACCTCCATAAATACTTTTTCTTCTTGTTCAGTAAAAGTTATTTTTCTAACAAAGCTCTTCTTTTTCTATTGAAGACCATCCCTGCACAAATACTATAGCAACGTTTCAATTTTCATTTAGTAAATTTGATAACAAAAAAAATACAAATCTCGTAAAAAAGGCGAAAATATTGTAAGTATATGTAAATTTTTATGTACTGCAACAATTGGCTGGTTTCGCGCGGTTTTCTTTTGGTATAACGACACCTGTAGTGGCTTGATCTTGTGTAGCTCCAGCTTGGTGTTTACGTAGTATGTCTTGAGTAAGTCTCATGAAAGCTTCTTCAACACAAATGTTGTCTTTAGCGCTAGTTTCATAGAACTTTATATTGTGCTCCCGAGCAATCTAAGTAAATAATAAAATTTACAATGGCAACAAAGTAAAAACTTAAATTTTATTTATTATTAACTTACCAATTCAATTTAAAAATGCTAAAAGTATTATAACAGAAGCATTTTTAATACTTGACTTTCAGATACTACTGGATACAATTTTTTTTTTACAAGAAAACACTGGTATTTGTTTTTTTATGAAACACATAAAAATTTTTGGAGCCTAAGCTTAACAATGGTGATGTCAGTTTAGAAAAGTCATCGGAATCTATAACTGAAAGAATTTTGAAAGTTTGTGAAAAAAAAGACAACTTTGTAGTTAATTGCAATAAATCAACCATGCGTCAAGAATTCAATTTGTTTGAAGCAACTAACAAAAGATCACCCAATTTAGATACGCCTTATAATGCACTTTTAACTATTCGACCTCCAGTGTTAAAACTAAAAGAGTGTTAAGTTCAAAAGTTTGATTTTTTACAAAGTTTAGAACTAGATTAACTGACAGTCACCTGGATGCACTGTTTTTTCTAAAAGGTCACTTTAAATCACAAAAATAGTTTGAAAAAAAAAGACAGGAAATAAATGTGAAAGAGTAAATACGTCATTTTTTTTTTTTTAGAGGTTGTATTAAAATATTTCTAACTGTGTTCGTAATTTGTTGGTAACATGTAACGATTTCAAAAAAATGTTTTAGTTTTCTTATTTAACTTATAATAAGTTTTAAAAATGACAAAAGAAGAAAACATTCGAAAAAAATATTTTGCACAAAAACTATGGAAAGTCTGAATAGAAGCTACACTTCAGTTGCACAAAAGTTACAAATACATCCCTACACCGTTAGTCTTATTACTTAATGTTTTCCCAAACAAATTCAATCCAACGCAAATCTAGTAATGGAGGAAAGAACAGTGTGGCCAGACTTTGAGTTAAAAAATTAGATTTTTAAAGACTTTTTAGGAGATTTTACCAGGAAACTTGGAAACGCACAAAAAAATTAGGATTCATTAGGAGGATTTCAAAATTTTTTTAATGAAATTTAAATATTATTCAAAAATTTTAATAAACAATTTGATAGTTTAAGTTGAATGTTCAAAGGAAAACTTAAAGTTCAAAAAACAAGTTTAAATTAGGAGATTTTTGAACCTTATAATTTTAATGCAACCTTGTAGTTACAAGGTTGCATTAAATTTAGATAAAAAAAAAAAAAAAAAAAAAAAAAACGTGGAAATTTGGACTAGGATTATAAGGTAAAAAGACTATAATCAAGAATTATCAGTTTTTAAGGGGTAGCAGTAACAGTATCGAAAACTGCCAAACTGATTAATCTCGAAAAGGGAATTTCCGGAATCGAAATAGAGAATAACATCGAAATTGTAAAAAAAGGAATTGTATCGAAAATCAGAAAAATATAATAATCTCGAAATTGTGAAAAAAAGAACAATATCGAAAAGGGAATTTTCGGAATAATATCGAAAATGATAGTATATCGAAATTATTAAAAAGAGATTAGTATCGAAAATCTGAAAAGCAAAATAATCTCGAAACAGCTCGAAAGAGAAAAATATTGAAAAGGGACTTATCGGAATAATATCGAAATCGTGAATAAAGGAATAGTATCGAAAATTCAAAAAACGGAATTACATCGAAATTCTGAAAAAAGAAACAATATCGAAATGGAAATTTCCGGAATTATATCGAAACTGTGAAAAAAGGAATAAAATCGAAATCACATTTTTAATGTTAATCATTAAAATGAGTTTTCGATCTTATTCTGTTTTTATTGTTTTCGACATTAATCGGAAAATCACATTTTCGATGTTAATCATTAAAATAAATTTTCGATCTTATTCCGTTTTTATTGTTTTCGACATTAATCAAAAAATCATGTTTTCGATGTTAAACATTAAAATGAGTTTTCGATCTTATTCCTTTTTTATTATTTTCGATTTTGTTCCACATTTGTGAAATTCGATATAAAAACTTTTCGGTATTAATCAGAAAAACACATTTTCGATGTTAATCAGTTAAACAATTTTTCAATCTTATTCCGTTTTTATTGTTTTCAATATTGTTTCACATTTGTGATTTTCGATATAAAACTTTTTCGATATAAATCTAAAAATCACATTTTCGATCTTAATCATTGAAATGAGTTTCGGTCAGTTATTTTTCGATACTAATCATTTTTTCGATCAGTTAATTTTCGATACTGTTCCGCTTTCCCTTTTTAAGCAAAGAGAAAAACTTTTTATATAATATGAAATTCAAAAGGTTTTGTTAGAGTGAACATTGAACCAATCATACTCTTTGCCAAACAGTGATTAATAAGTGTTCTTTTGATTATGTTAAAAAATTTAATTAAACAAGACCAAAACCAAACCATATATAAAGCATTAGCATTTAAAAAACTATTACTTCTCAGTAATGAATTCTCTACACACAGTGGACCTAGAAGGCAAAGTTTTGGAAATAAAATCATAACTAATGATTAAAAAATCCTAGAAAACTCATTGAGGACCTTTTGGAAAGATTTTTATTGTGTTGGTTATAGGAAAATTAAAATTTCTAATATTAAACTAAATTAGTGGATTTAAATTACCATATTTGGGCGTTTTTGACAAACTAGTGTTTTTTGATAAATATTCAAATTTTTTATAGATGACAGCTAAAAAAGTAATTTATTAGATAAACTTAAAGTAAAGAAAATTCAAAAATTTAATTTTTAATTAAATTTTTGTGCCAACTGTTTATTGATAAGAGGTTTAGTACTTTAAAACAAGTATTTGATCAAATTTGGATTTAAAATAACATTAGGATAATAAAATTATAATTTGAATTGAAATTATTGCATATATTTGATATTGCATATATACATATATTTGAAGATAAAAATGTAAAACAGTAAAAATGTTAGTCACTTATAATACATAAGGTTTTCAAACATATCATCTACATATTTCTTTGCCTTCGAAAACATAAGTTCACGAGATTTGCTTTTATGCTTATTTGAAAAACAGTCTTAACATAACTTTAGAGAATGCGAATGGATAATTCAGTTTAAAATACCAGGATCAGATTGTTTTAACGTAAACAACCTGCAAAGGGTAATAACTTATTTACTTTTTAAATATAAAATGTCAAACAATGGTTCAGAAATTATTATTTTTTATTCTTATAATTTTCTGTTGTGATACTTAACTGAAGCTACAGCAGAGTACGTTAAAGTATCAAAATGGTTGGTCTTTTTGTTAACTATGGTGTTCATCATGCTGAATGATTGCTCAATGTGAGGACTACTAAATATACTTAGGCATGCCTTGATAGTTATATTAAGCTTTTAATATTTTTTACACTTAAAAACTTCTACCCACCAATAGTTTAGAGATACGGGCTTTCCATCAGCAAACACAGGTGGAAGCACTATACATATGTGAAGCTGCATAACTTCTTAATTAAATACTACTTTATTTATATCTACAGCGGGAAAGAAAGTTGGAACTTTTTTTTAGCATTCTCTCTGTAATATCAGGACCTTGAGACATTAAATCAATCGCAGTGAGGCAATTTAATAAAGGGTTGTTAAAAGGAAATTTATTAAGTAAATAAACCGATGATTTAAGGTAAGCTTTTAGCAAGGTCTTAAAAAACAAAAATTTGAAGTCAGGATTTTGAATAATTATTTTTGACAAGAAAAAACTTACAATAGGTTCAATCATAAGTTTTATTCTGTGCAAGTATGCCAATATGCAATATGAATTAAAACATGGGATATGAAAATGGTGGAGCATTAAATTTAAAAAAATATATTAAACTAGTAGATGAAACTTTTTTATTTGTTTTACAGAAATTCAAAATATGTAAAAATAAGCAACTTAAAGTTTAAAGAATTAAAAAAATTACCCCTTCTCCTTTTTCTTTGCTCACCATTCTTTTATCATTCATATCACATTTGTTACCAAGAATCATTCTTTCAACACCTTCGCTTGCATGCTATATATAATTGTTTATTAAAAATATAATAAAAGATAAAAAAAGGCATTGAACTTAAATATAAAATAGATTTACCTCATCAATATTACGTAACCATTTTGCAATGTTATCAAATGTCTTTTCTTGTGTTATGTCATAGACAAGCATTATGCCCTTCAGATAAATTATCATTTTTATAGTTATATATAAGCAAAAAATATTTTCAAATATTTATACGAAATAAACAATGTCACAGACAAGCATTATACCCTTCAGATAAATTATTTTTATAGTTATAAGCAATAAATATTTTCAAATATTTATACAAAATAAACACTTCAGCATTTCTTTTATATAAAGATTTTGATTTAATATTCTTATAAAACATATATTTTTTATACAACTATACTTTATGTATTTTTATTTTATTTTTTTATTTTCTGAAAATTTATAGATTATAATATAATATATCATAATCTATAAATGCGCATATAGATATAACAATTTTTTTCCCAACCCAAATTCATAAATTTTTTTTGTTGTTACAAAAAGTTAAAACAAAACAAAGAATAATGAAAAAAACTTGATACTGCCCTACCCAAACCCTCAGTCAATGTAGCAGCAACTCCCTTAAATGTTTTCTCTATATCAGTCAATGTATGTACTGAAACACCTGCAGCTCCCTGTTTTAGAATGACATCAGATTACTAATCTAAATGTGCTTTTATAGATCATTTATATTTATATATAACAAAACTATTTAAACACACAAAATATGCACAATTTTCTTTAACATTCAAAAATCTATTTGTTCCCTCTTTTATAGTAAAAATACACATTACCATAGCACCTCGATAATAAGATGTAGTTATTGTATGAAATCTTTCTTGACCTGCTGTGTCCCTGATATCAAAAAATTAAAAAAAGATAAAACTAAATTTACAGAATATTTATACAAAATTTATAATTATTTAACATAAATTGAAGGGATAAAGTAAAGATAAATAAAAGAAGGACTTTTCAAGTACAAATACAAACAATTTTCATAAAAAAAAATTAAAGATTTTATTTATAATTAATGTAGAGCTTAAATAGTTTCATTCTTTGCTTGCGAAAACTGTGGTTGTACTTTTTTGGTGCAACCTTAAAAACAAGATTTTTGTGCATACCATTAATATTACAATTATAAATTAAAATATTTAATTAAGTATTATTTATTTACTTGAAGTATATTATAACAGTAAGTAATCTTAATAAATAACTTCAATCAAATTAAACAATGTTCCATCAAAGTTTCCAAAGATTTTCTATGAGGTAGATTTCAGGTAGATTTTATTTCAAAATTAAATAAAACATATTTTAATGGATTTTCTATATCGCTTTATCATTTAAAACCCAAGTAATCATTTAAATTGTCATAGTTAATTTTTAATTAAAAACTTTTAAAATTCAAAGTATAGTATACATATATGTAGTATAGTATATATATATATATATATATATATATATATATATATATATATATATATATATATTTAATATATATTAGGGGCTATTCTAGACTGTTTTCGACAGCGTCGCATGTATTTGGGCGCTGA